TTGTGTAGCACTGTCTTCTGCCCTTTGTTGTAGATCTTTGCTGTAGTTATAACCTTCACACGTACTGAAGTTCAGGTGGAGCTCTACAGATTTTGGAGTTATCCAGCTGCGTCTGGCTTAGGTCTGGCTGCTGTGCTCAGCTCTTTCCTGCTGCGGTCCTGGGTAGGATTGGGTCTCGAGGTTCCTGGAACTCGGCAGAAATTCCGGACCTGGGCTAGGACTGGGTCTGGGGGTTCCCGGAAGTTGGCAGAAATTCCTACTCGGCGGGAGGGGTGGGGTGCGGCCCGAAGGGGTGGGAGAGGGTCTGGCTCTCGCTGCGCCTGGGCTGGGACTGCGATTCTTTGAAAATTGATGGAAATCATTTCTAGGACACTGAAATTGTGATATCTGAATCAAAATACAATCAATGGAAAAGTAGTTATATTATTTTATTTATCCTATTAAAAGTTAATTTTAAATAAACATGCCAAATGTAAAAAAAAAAAGATGCTTGTAATAGCCACAAATAAATAATTAATTTTTTTCATTTTATGTATTTGGTACAGGTTCTTGATAAGAAGTACAGATTCATAATGATCCTCCTATTTTTTAGCCTCCACTGATCTGGGATTACAGGTGTGCACCACCACACTCAGTCTCAGTGGCCAGCTTAGCATGTCTGGGGGCAGGGAGGGGAAGGCTCTGCATGGCATGCAGTACTGGGGATCCAACCCAAGTCCTTGCACTCACCAGGCAGGCATTTAGAACACTGAGCAATGAATGAATGAATGAATTAATTAATTAATTAATTAATACAGAAAAAGTTTCAAGGGGAAAAATCCCTGTTAATATATGTATATTTACTAAAGAACACTAAATAACACCAAAATACAACTTCTGACTACCAGTCCTACAGAAAATCCACTACTATTATGGACTACTGGATTATATTGGAATATTTTGCTGAATTCACACACCTACAATATTTAAATGGCAATGGAATACCCATCTCTGACAAAACTAAACAAAAAAAGGGATAAAAATGAAGGACCATTTTGTATCTGTATTCTCAAAACAGGATAGATATACAGCTACTTTCTTTTAATTCAGTGAATAAAGACTTGTTCTAATAGTGTCTGTGGACAGGATATCATGTCTACGTTTTGTACTATAAATAATCACTATGAAGACAACAATATGCAATGTATTAATTATTTAAACTGTTCTACTAATTGGTTTTGAAAATTTCATTGCTATTTGTTTCTCACTAAAATTATTCACAAAGAGGCCAAAATAAATGCAAGAATATTGTATTTTAATACACATGAAGTATCACAGAGATTTCACTTTTCATGAAATAACTTCATAAATTTAATGCAAGTGTTGTAAGCACAGTTTTGAGAATGTATGAAAACTGAGAAAGAATGTTTGGTTTGACAGAAAATTAAGAAATGATTGCTTGCCTTATCATTTATTGAGATTATAATATTATAGAGCTATGTAGTTAAATTAATATACTACTACAGTACAAAGAAAATCATTACAAACTCTACCCTCACCTATGTCAATATGTCATTCAGGAAGAATGCATTGAGTACTTTATTGGAGATAATTTGGCATTTCCTGGCAGGATATCATTCAGTAAGTAGTTCTGGAATTATTACTTATGCAAATTTAAAAAGTTAAAACTGGATTATAGCATATGCAAATATCATTCAAATGGTATTTTAAGCCTGAAGTATGAAAGATGAAAATATTAGAGTTTTCAGTAAGATATCTTTAAGACATTAGAGAGTTAAACACACATGTACACAGTTTACAACATGTATGGTAAAACATGGCTGTAATCCCTGCACCACAAACGTTCAGACAGAAGGATAGCCAAAAATTCTAGGTCAGTCTGGGTAACACAGTGAATTCAAGGGCACCTGGAAATACAAAATGATATTTTGTAGAAATTAAATAGATAAGTAGCTAATGATTCTTGAGGTCATGATTAACAAAATAATTTAAGATTAAATCACAGACAATTTTCATTGCCATTTTTAATTCTCATTAAAATGAATAATAAATAAATAAATTACAGACAAGAGAAAATGATGCAAAATATGTGCTAAACATCAGATATATCCATTGCTATCAGGGTGACATGGTATTGTGGTTTACAGTAAATTTCTTACAAATAGAATTACACAGTTAAACAGCTATAATGTGTTGTACAGTGAATACACCCACCAGGAACAATGTTGTATACCATCATTATCAAGTAATATCAACATAACATACTTAATAACGTAAGTTTATACAAACTGAGAGAGTAGTAGATTTGTTCATGCCACCCTCACTGCAAGTAGAACATGGCTCTGCACGTTACCATGGCTGATCATTAGCTGACAAACTCTTTAGCTCCATTATAATTTATGAGACAAGCTTCTGTCATGTACTACAGTCTGCCACTGGTGAAAGTACTATTTCCCAGTGAATAACTAAATATGAACTTAATCCACCTTTACAGGTGAGTAAGAAAACTGAATAAATTGAAGTCAATTGTCAAAGAGCACACAGTATGTTAGTCATTTCTATTCACTGGGACAAAATACCCAACATGCACAACTTAAGGCCATCCACGATGGACTACACCACCCACATGATCCAATTGCCCTGCAAGAGCCCAACTTCTGAGCACCTAAGGCTTTGGGGAGATGTTTTAGATCTAAGCCAGAATACACTATTATGGTACCGAAGTTTTACTTCACAATTCTCATCGACAACAATAATGTGTTATCTTTTATATTAAAAGATATGGCTCGACCTTTATGAATTACTCCTTGTCTCTTAATCTTTGACTTATTCCAGTAGTATCAACATCTAACACACTGATAGAAAAATGGCACTCTAGAGAACAGTTTCCTTAAAGCCCTCAACATATCCTTGTTTCTCAGGCTGTAGATAAAGGGGTTCATCATGGGGGTCACTACAGTGTACATCACTGAGGCTATTGCACTCTTCTTGGAGGACAGAGGTCCTGAGGCACTGAGATACACACCAAAACATGTGCCATAGAACAAGGAAATGACTATTAGGTGTGACATACAAGTGGAGAAGGCTTTGTACTTTCCACCAGCTGAAGGAATTTTCAGGATGGAGGAGAAAATTTGAGTGTAAGAGAATAATATCCCACACAGAGGGACAATGCCCAACACACCCGCCACTAAATACACCAGGATGATATTTATGAGGATATCTGAACAGGCAAGTTTGAGAATATGATCCAGTTCACAGAAAAAGTGAGTAATCTCCAGGTTTGTGCAGAAGGACAGCCGGAGTGCCATGGATGTTTGGAGCAAGGCACTGAGGACACTGGTCAGGAAGGAAAGCAGAACTAGCAGCCAGCATAGTGTGGGGTTCATGATGACACTGTACCTCAAAGGGTGACAGATGGCCACAAACCGGTCATAGGCCATTACAGTCAAAAGCAGATCATCCATACATCCAAACATGATAAAAAGACACATCTGTATCATGCAGCTCACATAAGAGATGTCTCTATTCTGAGTTCGGATGTTCACAATCATTTTTGGGACTGTGGTGGAGATAAAACAGATATCATTAAGTGACAGGTTGGACAGGAAGAAATACATGGGTGTGTGGAGGTGAGAGTCAGAGTTGACAGTCAGGATGATGAGCAGGTTCCCGACCACCGTGACCAGGTACATTGATAGGAACAGCTCAAAGAAGAAGTGCTGCAGGTGTGGGTCATCTGACAACCCCAGGAGAATAAATTTTGCAACATATGAAATATTTTCTTGTTTCATGATGTTGATGGGTCTGGTAGAAAAAATGATAAGAAAACAAACTCTAGAAAAGCCATCTGAATTTTATGTATATTTTGAAACCAAATCAGATTTTTTCCAGGATTATTTTTCTCCTTTTCTTTTTCTTGCTTTGTATTTCCCTCATCATTTTTTCCCCACTCACTCCCCATTCCAACTTCTATATTTAGCTTTTAAAGTTTTAGTTAACATTTGAGAATTAGACATCTTTATGAAGTACGTTGTTATATTTTGATACACAGCATGCAGTGTGTAATGATCAAATCAGGGTAATTAGCATATTGATCTTATATATTTATCATTTCTGTCAAAAACATTCAAAATCCTCTCTTCTAACCATTGTGTATTTCTAGCTATTTTATAATATGCAATTCATTGTTCCTTGCTATGGTCACCAGGTTTTTATTTTCCATGTGTTCTTTCAAAAGTATAGTTATGGAGAATGAAATGGGAAAGAAACAATGCTGTGTCTTCCAAGTTTCTGTCACTACACCAACTAATAAGAACTTGGAAAAAAGCTAAGTTGCCTCATGATTTTTAGATTCCCATCCTCACCAGCTGTCCTCATTGCTGTGGCAGTGGGGGTGCAGCACTGCAAGAGAGCTCAGGAGAGCAGTACGGCTTACCTCACAGACAGGAAGTGACAGAGAAAGATAGGAAGAAGACAGGTCACAGAGGTCCATGTAGGACAGCCCCTGTGCACCCTGTTGGCCCCCATGAGGTTCCACCTCTCAGAGAATCCATCACCTTTCAACAGCACTGGGCTGGGACCAAGGCTTTATTTACATACATCTGCCCTGCAGCTTTAACTTTCTGCACGGGCTCTACATACCATGCTGGGACTAAGAAAATCCCCATAAGCTCCAAAACCATAGCTTCTGACATAAAGGTAGAGAATCACAGTTTGGAGAAAGAAGCACTGTTAATTATTACCCCTGAGCATGTCTCCAAAGTCTAGGAAATCAAAAGACAAACCAGCTCTCAATTTACTGTCATATCTGGCTCTATCTCCTATCTTGCCACTTGCATAAATTGTGTGCAATTATTACATGTCAATAATTTCATAATTCCATAATGAAATAACCAATTTGTTTTTAGTATTACTCAAAGGAAAGCAAGTATCATCAAGAAACTGGGGACTTAAAGGGATTTGATATACTTCACTTCACCACAGCTCATTTTCTTAAGTTAATAGCTCCTTGTGGCTAATGTTATACTTATCCATTACATTTTACCCCCAGAATTTATGGGCCAGTGTTTAGGATCAAGAATTCACACCGAGATGGAAAGAAAAGGAAGCAACATGTTGGAATGCTTCTCCAATTTGATGGTTTGCATGTAGTTCTGGAAGACTGAGATATTAAAGGCATACCAGAAAATATATTACTAAATTAGATACAAATTTTCTAAATGGAAATATAATATAGACTCCTGGAGAAAGCCCAGAAGTAAATACAATTTCCTTAACTTATGTTCTATTCTGTTTATCTTATAATGGAAAATTTTAAATTCCATTTTAAAATATTTAGTTTCTGTAAAAGTAGGATCTCTGTAAAAAAAATTTCTCAAAGATGTGTGCATATTTTTTTAAGTAAATCTGGATATCTTGAGCAAAGGAGACACTGTTTCATGACGAATAAAATTAGAAGTAGTTTTCAGCTACAACAAACAAAAACCATAAGGAATCAGCATGTACTGACAATGTCATAGTGTCTACCTGTTTTTCTTAAGGAATTTCAGTAACAGTGTCTGAGGATAAAATACAGAAGCACAGGATGTGAACAGTTGAATGATGTAGTGGTCCCATCTGACAGGAGCTTTCTGCTTCATTAAATTTGTCCCTGTGCAGAGGTTGACTTTCCCTGGTGAAAGACAAATGACAATGAGAGAATCAACCATTTAAGCATAAGACTTGGATTTGAGCAGTTACAATTAGTCATGCATTTGCCTATTGTGATATGAATCTGTGGCTCAGGAGGTTGCTGAAGCTCTATGAGGACACTCAATTTTTGCACTTGCACAACTATTATCAAAATCTATGGGTCTGTGGCAGAGAAGAGAAGCTTATGAACAGCACCTACTCATAGGAAAAGAAATGACTGTTCCAGAGAGTTTTGCTTTCAGTTGTGCATGACCTTGCATGCTTAGGAAGGAAGGTGAGGGTGGCAGGTAAGGGAAAGGAAGCAAGAATGATGGAGTTCACCTCAGGGATTATGTGTCAGAGCTGAGGGAAGCAAGACTAGGTTCAAACTTTCAGCGGGAGCCTTTGTAAGGTAATGCAGTAAGGAACTTAAACAAAAATAAACATAGAAACAGGTAAGTTATAGCAGAACCAGCCAATGTCATGTTATTTACTACTGTTTATACTATTTTAATGTAGTGTCATCATATATAATGTTCTAAAGTTTCATCATACTATTTTTGTACTACTGGGATCTGATCCCAGGGCCATTGTAGTGAGCTAAACCCACAGAAATTTTTTCTATCTTGAGATAAAGTCTCACTAAGTCACTAAGGTGCTCAGGCTGGGCTCCAGGTTTTGAACTTTCTCTAGTCCAAGAGTGCTGGGGTCATATACATGTGTGTTACATGCTAAATGTAACACACATATATATGTGTGTTACACATATAACATGCTAAATGTTTAGATGCTCAAAATGAATAAATCAGTCCTATGAATATAAAATTAAATTTAAATAAATCTAGAAAAAGTCAATTTACACAAGGATAGTTATAGCAGCATGTAAGTTATATAAATATGAACAACCTTTAAATAATTAACTCTTTTCTATAAAGCTGTATTTCAGGTATTGTGAAAATCGCACACTAACAATGAAGAGCTTACTCATTCACCAGCATGATAGAACTTAAATTCAAATATATGGTACACTTGCTTCAATCTTTGAACAAAAGTAAATAAAACAGCAGACATCATTTGAAACTCAGTGTCATTCTGTCAGTTTGAGCTCTCAGAGTTCAGCATGGCTGTGTGCTTTCCAGTTACTTTCTGTGATTCATGTGACATACATACACATCCTACAATTATGTTACATTCTGTATTATATGTTCATATTGGTTTCAGGTGTTAGCATACCATGTTTTCAGTTAGCACCTGTAATTATTTTGTCTTAACACTATTCTGTATTTATTAACACTGATTCAAACAGGTTTGTATTTATATGAACAAACATCCACACATGTGTGGGTATTTGATTTATTTATTCTATGATGCATTTCATTTTAGTAATGAACTTATCTTAATATGGTGAAACCTCCTGAAATTTCAGATTATTTCCTCCAGTCAAGACAAGGAGGAGAACAAGAATAAAGAGTTGCATCTTATGCACAATATATTAAATAGCATCATTGAAAAATATTCAAACTATCTGGACCTGGTAAAAGATTGATTCTGGAATGTGGTCTCATGATTATGTATTTTAATGCTCAATAATTTGAAGATTACAATAGGTAATATGAAAGCAAATAAATTAAAGAAATATTTATAATGTTTTGTTTGGAATTTTAAAAGAGAGAAAGAGTAAAAACATATATTAGTGATCATCGGCACCTGAACCTCCCCTACTGGTGTCCACAATCAAGTACCACTGTCCAAATGTAGAGGATGGTGACTGTGTGAGAGTTGTAGTCCATGTCTCAGAGTAACTCAGGGGATAAATAGTGCTCTTACCACAAATAAATGATAAATGCATGTGATCAAGATGTAGTAATAAAAAAAAACTGTCCAGGTTTTCTAATTATATAATATACACAATGAATTATAACACTGCACTCTATAAGTATGTATAATTAGCTTAATTATTTGTATAAGTTAATAATTTTACTGCAATGAAAGAAACTGAACAAACTCAGGTGCTCATTTATGCTAGTCAATGGCTTGGCATTTGAGCTACACCCACAGCTTTCCACATTCCACCCACAAAAGATTTTAAATAGTTAGAGATAAGACCTAAGTTCTCTAAATAGAAAATCTGTAATCAGGATTATGTAAACCAAAAAGCTTAATTCATCACACCTGACCATTATTTGGCAAAGCAATGAAGAAGCTACACAATTATAGAATCACTTTTGGATGGGGGTGATTCATACTTAGGTGAATGAAAAAGTCTCCAGAATTTGGGAGACAGAGGAAGAACTGAGTATAATGAAAGTTGGTTGCTCTTACTTTACAGGTTGTGTATAGTTTGAGCTTGTTGATTTATTAATAAACTTATCCATGAGATGAAAAAATGAATTGATTGCAAAGTATGTGAATATGAGTAAATGTCACAAGAGTGTCACCAATTAGTTTGGAGTGTCATTTTTTTTAACTCCAACTCACCTTTTTCTTACCTCAAAATGTGTCCAAGAAGAAAATCACAAAGAAGGAGAGAGAGAGAGAGAGAGAGAGAGAGAGAGAGAGAGAGAGAGAGAGAGAGAAAGGGAGGGGAGAAAGGGAGAAGGAGTACACAAAAAGGAGAGATGGACAAAGAAAAATAAATGGACAAAGAGAGGAAAGAAAGGAGAGACTTTTCAATACTTTGTAGGATTTATTGCCCAAACTTCAGATTGCCATGAAGATTCCATTTCTTTTCTGGATGTTTAAAGATGTAAGTGGAAACTGTAATCCAAGATGATCCAAGAGGCAACAAGCTCCTGTATATGTATCATCTCTGGATGAAGACTCCAGTGTGTGTTTTAAGACTTGTGAAGGGCTTCTGAAGAAGTGATTTTTATGGTGACTATCTGCAGTCCCAGTGGGCCTTGGTGTTCCATATTCGAAGTTCTTCATTAGCCCTAGTACACTGGCATTTATTTCCCAGGGCAATCTTCAAGGCACACAGCTCAATGATGTCCTGACCCTGAAAGCACCTCTCATTCTCATCCTACCACCTTCCCCCATACCCCTGGGGTCTCAGTCTTGTATGATAGGATCTGGCTGCAAGGCTTAGATTATTATGATCACTAAAGCACTAGAGAACCAG